TGCTTATAGCTACCCACATCATTTCTTTGCATTATTATTATTATTATTATTATTATTATTATTATTATTATTATTACTGCTAGAAAGTCTCAAAAAAAATATAATTTTCTTGTAAAAAAAATTATGTGTGTGTGTGTGTGTCTGTCTGTATGCCTCTCTCTCTCTCTCTATAGCAATAAAACAACAGAAACACATGGATTCACTTTTGAATTTTATAAAAAAATGTTGGCATATTGTTAAGGATGCGGTTGTTAAGGTTGTTAAGTGTTTATTTTTGGGTGTTGACTCTCATAAATCCATCCACCATGACACTCATTCCTAAAAGCCATGATAAGGAGAGTTGGAATCAATTTCATCCCATCAGCCTAACTATAGTGTTATCTAAAATTATCAGCAAAATCATTGTTAATTGATTACAGCCCCATCTACCTCATTTAATTACTCCCAACCAATTATCATTCACCAAAGGAAGAAACGTTATGGAGATTATAATGTTATTCCAAGAATTGATTACTGATTTGGATAAGAAGTGGAGAGGGGGAAAGAAGATATTAAAGCTTGATATAATGAAGGCTTATGATATTATTGAGTGGAGTTATATTATAGTTGTTTTCAAAACTAGAGGTTTTGCTGATGGATTTTGCAATATGATTGATAGATGGTTGAACAACAACTACTATATGATGTTGATTAATGGGTCAAGTTGTGATTTTTTCAAAACTTAATAAAACAGGGAGACACAATATCCTACTATCTTTATTATAGCATTTGATCACTTCTCCACAATGTTGAATAATTTACAAGAAAGGTTGTCTTGCACAAGATTCTCCTATAAAACTAAATTGGTGATATCTCGTTTAGCCTACGTTGATGATGTAGTACTATTTTGTAATGCTAGCAAATTATCTATCAGAAAGATTATGGGAACGTTAAAGGAATTTGAGGAATATTCGGATATTGAGTTTAATAAGAGCAAATGTAACTTCTTTTTTAGGAAAAGAGTTCCGGCGAATATGAAAGTTTGGATCATTGAATTCACCGGTTTTCATTTCTTTGAACTACCATTTCATTATCATGGCATCAAGCTTATGAAGGGCTTGAAAAAATTTAATCATTTTCAGGAGGAGGTGGATACATTCAGAGATCACATTAATTGTTGGGCTAACTCTTTTTTATCATTTGTGGGAAAAATTATTCTCATAAAAATTGTCTTGAACTCTATCCCACTCTAAACTCTAAAAGTATTAAGGAGGATAAGGAATAGAAAAGTTTAGTTGGAAAGGTTATTCAACAAGTTCCTTTGGTCTGGTTTCTTCTAAAATATTCACTGGACTAGTTGGAAGAAATTGTGTAAACCAATTGAGGCAGGTGGGCTTGGATTTCATGACCTTAGCACCGTATCTTACATAAATTATATAAAACTTCGGATCAAATTCAGATCTCAAGAATCTAGTTGGGCCAAATTTAAATGGAGAACTAATGTGTATCCACTCATCCTACTCTGGTATGTCCCAAATTGGATGATTCGTTGTTTTGGAAAGGTATGTTAAAGATTAGAGAAGAGATATGTTCATATGAAAGTTAGGGGTTGGCAAGGTTAGTTTTTGGTGGGACAACTGGAGCATTGATAGGTCCGATTATCATCAGTTGCAGGTTAATGAATGCTTAAATGGGACCCAGTGGAAAAAGGATTACTGATTAGTATGCTACCTAAGAAAATAGTTAATTCTTTAATTACTATCCCTATTATACCTAATATAAAGGATAAAGTATTATTAAGCCTCCTTTGAATTGTTCTATTGCTCAAACATTTGCTAAGAAGATTACACATTTTCTTGGTGTGAATTGGCTAAGCTGATTTGGAATGGTTGTTTGCCTCCATCTATAGCCTTTTTCTTTTGGTGGCTTCTTTATAAACTTCTACCAGTTGATGGTATCCTGAAGCTTAAAGGTTTAAGAGTTTCCTCTTGGTGTTTTTATGTAAGGAGGAGGAAGATTCTTCTAACCATATTTTCTTCTCTTGTGATTACACTGTACAAATATGGAAATGGGTGGGTAACTTCTTTAGTGTTGATTGTAGTGAAGATGGCTTCATTGGTATTGATCATTACAGACAGAGTTGGTAGCATAAAATACAAAATGACATGCATTTACTTAATTTAATGTCTTTTATTGTATTGTGGTTCTTTTGGATGGCGAGAAACGAGGCAAAACATGAAGATAGCTTTATGGATACTCGGGTGATTGTGCACAATATTCTATCATATGTTACTAAGGTTCTGATGTTTGGAAAGAGAACTATTGATTTCTTTAGTGGGATTGAGATGGTGTTGCAAGAGTTTAAGCTTTCAATTAGAAGCTCAAGAAAATGGAAATTACAGCTAATTTTGTGAAAGAGACCCAATGATTATTGGATTAAGGCTACTATCAATGGTAGTTGGAGCTGTGAAGGTGTTGGTGATGGGGGCACTTTCCGAAATCAGAATGGTTTATGCATGTTGTATTTCTAGTCACCCCATGTGACAAATGATTGTTTGGAGGCTAAAGCATGGATTGGGCCGTTTGCTCTTAAGATTGCTGTCAAAATGCAACAGAAACATATTATATGCGAGATTGACTCCTTGTTACTTGTGTAGATATTTAAGGGTAACATTGAAGCACCTTGGTCCTTAGCAATTGTCAAGAACAGAATTACATGTTGCACTTGTTATCTCTCTGTGCTCTGGACCCATATTCACCGTGAAGGCAGCAAAGGGGTGGATTGGCTTGCTAAAAATGGAGCTAAGGGCAATTTGATATTTGATTGTACTCCTCCTTATTTGGATTTGATTTAGAATGAGGATTTACTTGGTATGCCTTATGCTAGATATTAAATAAGGTTCCCCTTTCTTTTTTGTATCTTTGGGCATTATTAACAAAGATTATACTTTTATTGCCAAAATACATACACAAACACACATAAAATCCATTCTTTTTATTAAGATTATTTTGAATTTTTTTTTCAATATATCACACTTAATTCTTTTTTATTATACAAAATAGTACTCTTTTTTCTATCCCATGTACTCTCTCGACGGCAAGTAAACTAACTAGTCACCATGATAGCTTTCTTGGAAAGGCACTAAACAACAGCGATGGCATATGAAGAAGAAGAAGAAGAGTTCATGAGATATGCAGATTCATTAAATAAACTCATTTATTTACTAAATGCAATATTTAAAACAAAAGGCAAGAAAAAAATGGAATTTAGGTTTATGAAGAGTTTAGAAGACTCATTTACATGAATACCACACAATTCTTATATATTTACATATATAGTACCTAAGCTTTAATATTTACGTACATAGCACTCAAGACCTCACATCAAAAATACCGCTATCACTAACTATAAAAGTGCAAATACACATTTCCATGCATGAGTTTTTAATACCAAGCTGTCATAAATATAAATATAAGATTTTAGGTGTTAGACATATAAATGCACTCTCATTGTGTGATATGTATTCAAATTTCCTAATTTATAATGATCTTAATGATCATTTGATAGAGTTTATACATGATTTGTGCCGGAAGATTTATGGCGGGGGGGGGGGTATTTTTAGTCTTAGTGTTTGATGAATGAAAGTCTGACATACACATAGAATCCATCGAACGATGTGGAAATGTTCCTTCAATCAGACAACAATTTTGTAAATATTTGATTGTCATTGTTAAGTTGGATTTGAGTGTTATTGGGCTAGTCAGATTCGTCTCATCGAGATACTCGATTCTATTATAAGCTGGTTAGATTTGGTGTTCATTTGACC